TTAGTGGCACTGCAGGAGTGGGGGGAGGATGACTTTCTGCAGGAACTGTAGAGATGCTTGTCAGGTACCAAGAGGGAACCCAGCAGGTAGAGGCAAGGGGCAGGGAGAGCCTTGCCTGGGAAACCCTAGAAGCCCAAGGGAGGTAATCCCTGCTAGAGGGGAAGAGACTAAATTAAGAAATCTAGTCTTACCCCCATGTCCGGAGAGACTACTAGAGGTGAAGAGATTTTTTTTTTTCTTTTCCCTAAAAAAAAAATGGCTGTTTTTGCGTAAAAACCTTTGGAGCCTCCACATCTCAAATCTGCTTTTGTGCAAGAAAATCAGCAGTAAAATGGCAGAACAGAGGGCTTTTGCCAGTGCTGGTAAACCTCCTATGAGGTATAACTCCCTTTTGCACTATAGCTATTTTGCAAAAAGGCAAGTGTGGATGCTCCAGAGGGGTTTCTTACTCAAAAAACCCCTATGGGAGAAAGCACAGGTGCTGTGATGACCATTCTGTGAATGGCCATCAGAGCTTTCTTGTGCAAGAGTGTCCATGCAGTGTGGACATGCTCTTGCTCAATAATTTTTTGCGCAAGATGCCAGCAGTGTAGATGTAGCCAGAGTGGATAAATCAGACTATGCTTGCCCCTAAAATAAAGGGGATGGACTGAGAGCTATAGTGAGTTACTAAGGCAAGCCATTAGACTGGGTGTTGCATTTCTCCCAAATGGGGATTGATAATACTCAGTCTACTGCTACTCAGAAGTGCAGGATCCACTGTGTCTAATTAGGAGCTTCATTATCATATACATATAGTGGCACTGCAGGAGTGGGGGGAGGATGACTTTCTGCAGGAACTGTAGAGATGCTTGTCAGGTACCAAGAGGGAACCCAGCAGGTAGAGGCAAGGGGCAGGGAGAGCCTTGCCTGGGAAACCCTAGAAGCCCAAGGGAGGTAATCCCTGCTAGAGGGGAAGAGACTAAATTAAGAAATCTAGTCTTACCCCCATGTCCGGAGAGACTACTAGAGGTGAAGAGATTTTTTTTTTTCTTTTCCCTAAAAAAAAAATGGCTGTTTTTGCGTAAAAACCTTTGGAGCCTCCACATCTCAAATCTGCTTTTGTGCAAGAAAATCAGCAGTAAAATGGCAGAACAGAGGGCTTTTGCCAGTGCTGGTAAACCTCCTATGAGGTATAACTCCCTTTTGCACTATAGCTATTTTGCAAAAAGGCAAGTGTGGATGCTCCAGAGGGGTTTCTTACTCAAAAAACCCCTATGGGAGAAAGCACAGGTGCTGTGATGACCATTCTGTGAATGGCCATCAGAGCTTTCTTGTGCAAGAGTGTCCATGCAGTGTGGACATGCTCTTGCTCAATAATTTTTTGCGCAAGATGCCAGCAGTGTAGATGTAGCCAGAGTGGATAAATCAGACTATGCTTGCCCCTAAAATAAAGGGGATGGACTGAGAGCTATAGTGAGTTACTAAGGCAAGCCATTAGACTGGGTGTTGCATTTCTCCCAAATGGGGATTGATAATACTCAGTCTACTGCTACTCAGAAGTGCAGGATCCACTGTGTCTAATTAGGAGCTTCATTATCATATACATATGGATTACACTTCTCAAAGAATCACAGTTGCTGTTACATAAGTATGATTTTTCCTGGTGGTGTATGCATTGACAACTCAGTTCTGTATTACACCCATGCTGCTTTTGAGTGTAAGCATTGTATGGCGAGGACTTTAATACTACTTTATACGTTCTCTTATTGTAGAAAGGTCCAATGAACAAACATGTGAGGGATGGAGATTGTGGGCATTTTTTTAATGAAAAATGTAATAAAGCTTTCAGAAATATGGCAATGGATATTCTTGTTTAATGGGATTTGTTATAGCTTCTAATACTGGCCTTGAATAGAGTTTGGAAATATTATGTTTAACATATACAGCAGGGGTGGCTAACCCGTTCTGGATGAAGAGCTAAGATCTAGTTGGATCCAGCATGAAGAGCCAGGGCAAAAAGTTGTAGAGTGCTCTCCTTCTCTCCCCCCACCCCCCCACCCCACCTCAAAAGGAGGCCCAAAAAGTTGTAGAGTGCTCTCCTTCTCTCCCCCCACCCCACCCCAAAAGGAGGCCCAAAAAGCTGTAGAGCACAAAAAAAGGAACTGGCCCTTTAAGAAGGCTTTTTGGCCTCAGCAGGCTCCTGTGGTCATTAGATCCACCATTTTGATCCGGACAGCTCCCTTGCCCTGGTGAGCACAGAGGAGCTGGAAGGCATGGGCCGTGTTCAGGAGGTACGGGGGCGGCTTTGCAAGCCTCTGCATTGGCTGGGGGAGGAAGGAGAGCCGCATGTGTCTCATGAGCCACGGGTTGGCCACACTTGATACACAGATTTAGCTGTTTTCTGTATCTTTCCTTAGTTCTATTGCCTTGGACTTCAGCAGTCACTTCAGAATGCAGTATCTAGAATTTTTTTTTCTGGGAATTCTTATTAGCTCTGTTGTTTCAGGGTGTGATGAGTAAAGCTGTGAACTGGAGAGAGCTAGAGAAACAGTACTATACACAAACTGTCTATGAAGAAGAAATCATTCAAATGCTTGAATATTGTGGAGTAAGTACAGTTTGTTTTCCCTACTAGCTTTTGGTAAAATGTACTTTGCATACAAAATCCATTAAAATACCTGATATGAACTTTCAGGAAACATTCATTATACAACACATTAAATTTATTTAGTTTAACAAATGTTTGATGCAGAAGTAACCTTTAAATAAGCAAAGATTAATACCTCTTCCTGTCATGTCATATACGTTTTTATAAGTGTTGAACTCTGTTCAGATTACTGTTCATGACCAAGTAGGACAGACACCAGTTTCCTGTAGTGCTCAAAATGAAGGTACATAAAGCACATATTTAACTACTGTGCCTTCTTATTAAAAAACAAGAGGGTGCTAAAAGGTTAAAAACATTAAGAACTCTCAGAATATTCTTTGAAATGTTAGTTTTTGTAGGGGTGGGAAATTAAAGCATTGAAAACCAAATTCCAGAAAACAAGCCATGTAGTTTGGTACCATGTTGTGAAATGCTAAATAAAGAAGTGACGTATTGTTGAATCTATGATCTTGCTTATTCCTTTGAAATATTGATACCTACTTGAGCAATAAAAAGACATGACTAGATTTGAATACACAATTCGTTATGAAATAATTGCCACTAACCCTAAGAAGAAAGATGTACAAAGGTATAGTGGAGTAAAAATTGTCCTATATGAATGCTATTATGGATTAATGCTTTTTAAACTGCAGTTTCAGTTTTGTAATGCTATACTGAATTATTTTAATTATGTTAGTAACATAATCTGATTCTCTAAAGATAACCAGGTCACTCAATTCTGGTTCTTAAGAGTAGGATTGGTAGAATTCCTTTAGTTCTGCAGGTTTTCTATCCTGATGACAATAGCAGTGGGGTAAAAATATAAGCCAGAAATATTTACAGTTGCCTCTCATCCTTCACCAATATAAATGCTGTACTCTGAATGTTTTCGTTTTTTCTTGACCCGTTATCAATAATGGAGCTTGTGCGTAGGAGACTATTTGGGTGCAATCGCTTCAGTTCTTGACTGGTTGCCCAACAAGAAATTGAGTACCCTTTGCTTGTTGCAACTTTGTCTTGTAACCATATCTGGTATAGGGAGGACCCTTAGTTTTAGACCTTTGCTTCCATGCTTTAGTGTTTTGCACTTGTATCAGAACTGAGACACAACTACTTTGGTGCCTTGCTTTGACATTGACTTGTTCTTCTGACAAACATCTCAGTAGTATTAAGGTATTGACAAGAATAGAGGAACTCAAAACTGGTTGTTTGCTGACAAACTATCAGTGTACATGGAACTCAGATATGAGGATATCTTCCTAGTTATCCACAGGCAAATGGGTTTTTTTTTTTTTTTTTTTTTTTTTTTTTTCAAGCTCTGACTATAGCCTTTTCCCAAAGTAAATGTGGATGTCTGATCTTTCCCCAACCTCAACAGTTATGGTACCTGACTTTCTTGTAGTCTTTGAGCTATTAGTACAAATTCTTTTCTCCCTAGCAAATTCAATGCTATTTTGTAAGAAGAGCATTTTTGAAAAGCTGGCTTCTTGAGCTCTTTGCCCAGAAACTGAAGTGCAATGCATTTATACAGGGTTAATGCATATATGGAAGCAGAATTGTAAATCAGATATGGCTCTGCTCTAGTAATATCTGCAATATTGTAATATGCTCAAAAAATAAGGAAAGTTTAAAAGAAAAAAAGAAAAAATTAAAGTTACATAGCAATTTACATTATTTCAGGTAATTTCCCCATGTAAAATGTTTCCGTATATGTCCTTGCTTTACTCTTCAAAAGATAGTTAATACCACTTGTGATAAGAATCCTACAAACCCTTGAGTCCCAACAAAATAAAGATACTCTTTTTTTCCAAATTACTTGTTTGATTCTAGATTAGTTAAGTAATATTCAGAAGTAATGTGCATCTGACATGTGATACTCTGTTTTAGTTCCATTTCCTAATAGACGTATATCTGCATCATAAGAACCGCCACCATAATTATGTACTTATTGCTACGTGATTGTGTGCTTGGGACAGGCCAGAAACTAGGTGATGTGGGTCAGGATTTAGATCATTGACTCAAACTGTATATAAGAGTTTGGACATTGCTTATGCACCTAGCACTGTGCCTGGCTCATGCCAGAGCCCTTACTCTGTGTCATGTGGATCGCATTCATTCTTTTTTACAAAGTTGATCAAAATATGTGAAAACCCCTTAATAAAAGGCCTGTCTTTCTGTTTAGACAGACTCTTTCAAGATGGGACAAGACTTCGTTAAAAATTCCCCCAACAGTGTGGACAGTCTGAACAACTTAGCTTTGACTTCCAGAATGTTGAATCTGGATACCACAAGCAAAATTTTGTCTACAGAAGCCATTCACTGCCTTAGCACTAGTAAAAGTACTGCATGTGCCTCATCAGAAAGACTCTTGCTGCAAGATGCACCTACAATGCAGTGTATAAATGAAACATTTTCAACGAGCAGCAGTAGCAATAAGAACTTCATCAAGCAGAAAGAGCGCTGGATAAGTGAAGAAAGGAAAAGGGACACTTTACAGAGAGAATCACAAAGGTTCATGAAAGGAGTTATGGATGAATGTACCCATATAGCTAATTTCTCAGGTACTTTTTATTTTAATTTGCGGATTGGGATAATTGTCTAGAATAATTTCTTCTTATCTATTTAATATTTTTGTATTCATACTGTTACCCCAGAAAGTTCTTATTGAATTAGAAAGTGTGTCCTGGGCGTCTTCACAGAATGGACATATAACTCAGTTGTCTTTTAAAAATATATACATCAGACTTATATCTAACACAGATCATTTCAGAGAAATCTCTTTTTTGACAAGCACTCTGTTCAAAATCACTTTTCACTTTCTGACTCTAGAGATTTGCATAGAGGGATGGTTCAAGAGCTTCACCAAGTCTAAATCCGGTTTCAAATGGTAGTTTTGCTTTTTTCCTCTTAAGCATATTAATATATTGTATTTGTTAGATGTAATCAAACTGTGTACCAGTAACATGAGCTTGTCTGCTGCAGGTATTGCTAGGACCCTTTTTAAGTGGGAAAACTTTTTTTTTAAATCCTTCATTTCTCTATGCAATCATACACTGTTTAAAAAATCACAGGTTTTCTTCAAAGAGGACAAGAGGTGACTGTTGAATATTGCCTTATTCCCTCAGTTTGTCATAACTGCCATAACTCTGGTGCTAATTGTGGGGTAATCCATAATTAAAATTGCTACTGAATTATATTTTAAAATTTGATTTTTGCTCTCCCCTCTTATGTCAATGCAAAGACCCTTTCCACCTTCCCCCCAAAAAGCAATATTGAGCTCGTATTGGTAGGCTGTTTGTCTGATGTGAAGCTGTCTTGCAGTGGAGATCTTGTGTGAAGAATCAAAATCTAGTTATGCAGTGCATCTTTTATTTTGCAACTACACTACTCCATTGATCTTAACATACTACATCCAAGGATGGCTGGGGACCTAAGCTTCCATTTAAAGAGTATCTAGTTTTTATCCATGCACAGAGCTCAGAGTGTAACCTGATCATTAAGGAGACTTACTGGTGAAAACATCTTCTCATGTTCATGTGGGCTTTTCCTACTACCCCACATTACAGTAGTCTCATAGGTTACTGAGGAATATTGATTTGGGAATAGGAAAAAATGAGCATTTATTGGAAAAAATCAGGGTTTTTGTTTTTTCTTTTTTCTACCTAGTTCCAGTTGACCCAAGCCTAATCATAGTTGTACAAGCCAAGGAGGATGCATATGTTCCACGTACTGGAGTGCGCAGCCTTCAAGATATCTGGCCAGGATGTGAAATCAGGTATCTGGGTGGAGGTCACATCAGTGCCTATCTCTTCAAACAAGGACTCTTTAGGTGAGAAGTTAAGTATAAATAGGAAGCAAAAACATGGTTGTGATTTCCCCTCTCCCTCCCATACCACTTTTTGAGGGAATTCATTTTCTGAATTTGTACGTGTCTTTTTTTTAAAAACAAAAAAAGAACTTCTACTCTTCAGTCATTCAGTCAAATTCATTCATTAAACACTATATTTTTTTCTTAGCTGTTCAGTAGGCAACAATTACCTTATATTTATTTTTACAAGTGTTGTCTTTGTTGGAATAAAAAGTAGGTGAAGTTCACATTTAAAAACTTACCTTACCTGTGAGACAAGTAATATGTGACTAACTCCAGACTTAACATTGTATCTCAACCTTATGAAATAGTATTTATCTAAATACAGTTATTAAATCTTTAAAAGTTACAATAATATAATACTCATGTATGAGGTGGTCTTTTAAAAAAAAAAAAAGGAAAAGGTCAGCATACCCAAAGTTCAGGATCAAAATGTGTGCAAAATTACCACCATTTTTGAAAGATGTTTCAGTAAATAGAGAATACAGAAGAGATATTGTGTGATCAGAATTTCTTGAGAGAGAGTTGAGTGCAAAGGGCCCTAATCCAACAAAGAATGTCCTTAATGTTAAGCATTCACTGATCACATAAATGTCTTGTGCAGTTAAGGCCATAGAGAACTAGGCAGGTGATGGGGCAAAATAATTCTTAGTACCAAATTAATGCTGAAGAACAATGTTTTGAAGTTGTAGGGCATTTATTTCTTTTTAATGTGTGGTATGTGGACACAATCCTCTTCTAATAATATCATAGATTTAATTACATGAGATCAGATGGTCGGGAAAGCTGTTCCCATCAGTCTAAATAATTGTGACACTGGAGAATGCTAGACTCTTTATTCACAGTACATACATAATTATTCAGACTGACTAGCATGCTGTGTATGAATTTTAAAGGTATTTCCCTCAGTATTTGAGCCTTACTTGTTGCTGCCTCCTTCACCTTTTTGCAGTGCTTACACTGTCAATGAAATCAGTTTGTGTTTTTGGATAAAGTTGAAAATATTTGGACCCCCCTGAAAAATGTTTCCTCCTTCTTTTTTTTTTTTTTTTTTGTAAAATGTGTGACTTATTCCTTTTGCCTATGTGTTAAATTAGTATATTATTTGTTCAGTGTTGTATCCATCTTGGACCCAGGATATTAGAAAGAGAATGTTGCTGTGATAATATCTTTTATTGGAACAACTTCAGTTGGTGATAGAAAAAAGCTTACATGGACATGAAAAAGAGCTGAAAGCTTATCTTTCATCAACAGTCATTGATCCAATAAAATATACTACTTCACCGACCTTCTGTGTGTCATTAGTTTTTCTCAGATTTGTGGACCACTTCCCCGATGTCTCTGAGTTACTCCAGTTTCCATTCTTTAACTAATTGCAGTGTAGGGCCCCATTATTTACCAACTCCTTTTAGAAAATTCTGATTTTATACAGATATACTGTATTAGCTGACAGTGAAATTCCTCTACTTTGAGAAGTTTTCAGAACTCTTGTTGAGAATGTTTTATTGCTGCCTTACCTACATGGCAAAATCTAAATTCTGTTAGGAGAATTGCAGGAAAAATTTTGTTGACAATTTATTTCTAGCTCTGATAGAGATAGTAGGAAGAGAAAGGGGGGGAAACTAGGCCTTTTACCTGATTTAAACTCTTGAGATAAGCCTATTTACATATTTAATCCTTGGAAAATCAGATTGCCATTGATGTTAATAGTTTTACTAAGGTAGACCATATGCCTGTTCGTTTGAGACCACTTGATTATTTCACGAGAATAACTGAATAGCTCTTGGTGAAGATTCTGTTTCTGATATTCTCTACATTAGAACCAGTATCCTTCAAATGTGCTTTATGCTGCTGTTAATTCCCCTTGAATCTGAGTCCTTTAACAAGTAAACGTTAACTTTCCCAAAAACTACAGCATGCTCTTCTGCCATACATGTCTGTCTTGGTTCCCTATTCCAGGCTGAATCTTAGTGGTTGTTGGATGTTCTAGGGACATTTGGCAGCTGATGCAGATTAAAGCTTGGGGCTAGACTGATATAATAGTAGTGGATCAGGGATATTAAGAGCTTTGGCTCTCCTCAGTTACTAAGCACTCCTAAGGCCCTATTTTTACAAAGGAAGACAAATAGCTTGCTTCTACCCATTCCCCAAGTTCTACTAGTAGCCTGTAATTCTTTTTTTTTCCATATTCTCTCTTTTAGGCAAGCCATATATGATGCATTTGAGCGCTTTCTTCAGAAATATGCTGTTTAATTATCTTCATTATGAATTTGCTCAGTGTGGTCTTGTTTGAGCTTTCCGTATCTGGAATTTAATATTGGCATGCTTTGGAAAGCCAGCCAGTTAAACCAGTATTAAATAGATGAATATCAACATCGAATTTCAGACCCACCAGATTCAATATTGGAAATAAAATAATAATAGTTTCAGTTCAACTAAATGCCAATCTCAGACACATCTGCATTAATTTGAACCATGAAAATGTTAGCAACATTTTGTTAAGGTATGAGGGGATTCTATGTATTTCATATTGTCTGTTTTATAACTTTACGTGTGACATAATGTTCTATACTGAATAGTTTGCATATCTGCTGTAAAGAGACCAATGTAATGCCAAAAGAACTGTTGAAATCTCTCCTTACGGATTTTAACACTGTTCTAAATTTAATACATTGCTATTTTTCCCTGTTACTATTTTTTTTCCTGCCCTCTATCCTGTGCTGCTGATAGAGATTTATTTTTAGAAAAGGTTCCTCCTGTAAGCCCAGCCTCATATGTTTCATTCACTATTGTGACTTAAAATGGCAGGAATAAATAAGAGAAGAAGATGGACAGCAATGGGGAGAGAAAAGTCCATGAGTGTTGTATAGAAAAAAGTAAATAAATAATTTTTATTGACATTTGAACGTATTCTCTATTCTTGAAGTCTTTTTCTATTTAAAAACATATAGTTCATGCACAATAATTGTATAGATTTTATAGCTGAAAGAGAATTACTGGTGCTCTATTTTCAGATACTAATTACACATAAAAATCAGAGAATGTAGAAGTTTGGTCCTACCAGAACTTTATAACAGAATTACTTGAAATGAAAAGAGCTTTTGTTACATATTCTGCATTAAGATTATTTAACACAAAGACTATTGATTTGTATGTATTGTTTAAAACAATGTTTATTCTTCAGTAGAGTAAGACAACCTATGTTTCAGATACATGGACAGAGTCCTTTTTAAAAATGTAATCCACACATGACTGCCAGCGTACCTTTTTTTTAAACTACAGGTTGAACCTCTGTAAACTGGGACACTCTGATCCGGACCATGGATGTTCCAGGACCAGAGAATCCTGGTGGAGAGATGGTGCCTAGGAGCTCTGTGGACTGTCAGGGTTGCGGGCTGCGGGCCCTGAGCTGTCACTAGGGTCAGGAGTCTAGTTGACCACACCTGAGAAGCGGGGCGTGCCCCAGCAGGGCTGCCTGGAGGAGCCAGGAGTGGCGTGCCCCAGCTGGGCTGTTCAGCTAGGCTGCTTGGTGAGGCAGGAGCCTGGTGCACTGCGAGCTATGTTGCTTGGCATGGCAGGCAAAGGGGATGGCAGGGGACTGGCAGGGCAGCGGGGTTTATGGCAGGTCTAGCACTTGGGGCAGTAGTAGGGGGGCCCAGAAATAACCTCCCCTGGTCCGGCAAAATAACTCATCAGGGACTGGTCAGGTCCAACCTGTATATGTTAGCTAAATGGAGGATTACATTACAGAAGATAGCAGTTCAGATCACTATCTCCTAATTTTACAATAAATGTTTTAAGTGGATGAAAGTAAAATATTTAGGATTCTGAGCATGTTTAAAGAATTAATAGAATTGGTATCTTTATATATGACCTGAAACTTGCCTTAATAAACTAATCTATAGTTTAAAAGTAGTTATCCATTAAACACTTTCTGCAGTACTCTTAAAAATTATAATAGACTGGGAGAGGAAGCTATAGCTGAAGCAATTTTTTTTACATTTTGGTATAGCAGATGACTGTGAATTACAAATCCTTCCCCCCCCCCTCCCCACAAGTTCAGGGTAATCTTTGACCTATAAAGGATATGGAGCAAATAAAATGTTGCTTGTACGCTCTTGAAAACTAGTCTTGTAAATGAGGGTAGTAAATGGAATAGTAAGTGTCAATCTGTAAATTGGATAACAAGTCCAAAAAAAAAAAAATCCTGAAACACATACATTTGTAGTAATTAAATTTTATTTCAAGTTCCAAATGTGCTGGAATTCTGCCACACTGCTTTTTCTATTAACTGAAATGTTTAAAATGGAATTTCATTCTTTTCTTGATGCGTAGTTTTATAGAAAATGTGTAACAGAGTGAGCAAGTGGTAAGTTTCATCTAGTGTCTTAAAATATTTGTACTATTAAAATACTGAATGTTTATTTAGAAAATGCAAGGCTTCAAAAGTCAATACATGTAAGATTAATTTTTAAATTAAAGATGTGAGTGCAGTACTAAAAGGTGTATATAAATTATCTGATATACTACTTGTTGTTTGCTTTTGTAAACTGCGGTCTCTTACAAAAGAGAGTTGTTTAAAAATTAGCTAAGAATTGGCAAAATCCAGACAGATGGCCACATTCTGAACTACTTTAACTGTGTTTATGCCATGTTCTTTTTGCAGCTATAAAGGGGGAAAATCTGTGGCAGAGGAAAGGCTTGAATGCCTGAATGAAAGCAAAGACAAAAATTTGAAGGGTGTCTTAAATGAGCTAGTTTCTAGACTCCAAACTATAATCTGCCAAATTAACTTCTAGAAATTATAGATCTAATGGAAAACTGGCATCCAAGGTATTTGATGGTTGCACTAGCAAGATTTTAGTCTCAAAAAAACTTTACCATGTGTTAAGCAAACTTGTTATGTTTAGCCTCCGTGTGGAAGTCAGTTTTCCGATTAGCATGGTGAAGTATTAGTAACATTATTGATCTGAAACTTGACTGCATATTGAATTCTAATGTAAAAATTCAATGAAAACAAAAGATACTGTATGCCTATACAAGCAGTCCCCGAGTTACGTGGATCCGACTTATGTCGGATCCCTACATACGAACGGGGCTTTTCTCGCCGTGGAGGACACGGGCGGTGGGACCGGCCAGACGCGCCACGGTCCCGCCGCCCGCGTCCTCCGCGGCGAGAAAAGCTGCTCCGCGTCTCCCTGGTCTGCTGGGGGGGGAGGGCGCAGCTAGTGCGCCCCCCCCCTCCCCCCAAGCAGACCTGGCTTTTCTCGCCGACGCCTGGGGTAGAGCAGATTGGGTGCTGCCGGGTTGGTCCCACAGCGCTGCTCCTCGGCGCTACTGGACCAACCCGGCAACACCCCAGCTGCTCTGCCCCAGGCGTCCGGATTCAGCCGCTGTTGAAACTGATCAGCGGCTGATTCCAGGAAGCCCCGGGCAGAGCAGTTCTGCCTCGGGCTTCCTGTAGGCAGCCGCTGGTCAGTTTCAACAGTGGCTGTATCTGGACGCCAGTTCCAACTTACATACAAATTCAACTTAAGAACAAACCTACAGTCCCTATCTTGTACGGAACCCGGGGACTGCCTGTACTGCAAGTGAAGATGTGATTTGTACCACCAATAAGCATACCCCTACTAGCTTCAGTCTACCTAGCATGGGTAACAGTAGTAGTGAAGAGTTAGCTGCACAGATTTCAGCTCATGCTATCTGCTGAAATCCATGCCCACTAGAGAACCTGGGTACTAGAGAACTTATCTTGCTAGTCCATGCTGAAGTTTGTGCCACCAGACCTTCACTCTGTAATTTGTACTGTCTCAGCTAAAGGTAGCATGTGGGTAGGTATATCTATCCTAAAGGCCCACCTTAATTTACTGTGTAGACATACTCCTAGAGGTAAGACTTCTGCCCTAAAGCTGAGTAACGGGTGAGCTGTTAAGCTCTGAATATTTTAACTTTGTCAAACTGTCATTGATCATTTTCCTGTAAAACTGTACAACATAAACTTAAGATTGCCTTGTCATTGCATATTTCCTCCTTACTATATATTTGAGAGTCTGTGTGTATGTCCATCTGTTTGTTAAAGAACTTCTAAATAGTAAGAGCTAGGACCACCATATCAGGTATATCTCTTCCTCTTATCTCTTAAATGTGGGGCAAGCACAGTCTGGTCCACCAGATCCAGCCCAGGGACACCCTGCATGCTGCTGAAAGCAGGCAACTGTGGAGACCATGTGCATCTTTGTGTGCCCTGTGCCCAGGGGGGAGGCTTCACATACTGCCCCCACCCTCAGCACAAACTACAGGTCCTATAGGCCAGAAACTGGCCAATGAAAGCTGCCTGGGCCATGCTTGTAGTGCAGGCAGTGTGCAGAGGGTTCTCCCCAGATCTCACCTCCTGCCCCAGGTCATAACCCTTTCCTTCACCCAATCTCTCTCCCAGACCATGCACCCCCTCTTGTGCCCCATTCTCCTACATAAGCTTCCTTTTTTGCACCCAACCTCCATCCCAGAGCCTGTACCTTCTCCATTAAGATCGTAGAAGAGTGCAGTGTGGCCCTTGACGACTTTCCAAATTATTGGAGTTTGCTGTATTATATGAATTGGTGTACGTGTTCTGGAACTTTGCATATTCCCATGAGAAGGGTAAATAAGAAAAGTGAGAGCTGATTAAGCAAATTAACTGAGGATATAACATTGCCAGAGAAGCCACACTGTTGGAAAGGTAAGCATGTGTGCTAGTTCAAATGGATTCACCAAGGGCCAGTGGACAGAAAAGTTTTTGGATAAAAAGCCCAGCTTTAAACTGGCTCATGGTCTTTTGCCTGTTCTAACAAACCCTGCTTCATGGAGGGCTCCAATTCTGAGGTTAGGTTTAGGACTGAGGCTGCAGAATGCATTTTAAAGTTGGGGTTAATTGTGGTAAGCATTGTATGTAGGTTGTTTTAATGTTTTGTTTAGTATATTTTCTCTAATGCTGTTTTACCTGAAGAATAAAGAAGACTTGTGTAGGAAGTGCTGCATGGTCACTTGCAACTGTTGACACACACACTTACCAATCTCTGAAAAGAAAGCAAACAGATGGCCTCTGACAATATCTGTGCTCAGAAATACACAGTGAAGGCAGAGAACTGTGCAGCCTGGAAATACTCCAGTCAGAAAAAAGAGGGACATATGACTCCAGCTCAGAATGAAAACAGCTGGAAATCTGGAAGCCAAGAGTAGGTGATGTTGCTGAACCACTGAAGGGAAATGCAATTGTCCTGACCTGTGCCACTGTGGAATACATTGTTACTATATGTAAAGTTTGCCTTCTTTTTGTATTAAATCTTTTCATTTTGTAAAAAATTCCTTGTAATTAAACAGGTTGGGATCTTGCTTCCCTGGAAGCAGTTTATGGACCTTTCACTCTATCCACTGATCAAAGACTAAATGGTTACAATTACAGTCCGGCCTGCACGTGTAGGATATGACTTAGTGTGCTGGGGGCCGTGAGCGAAATGGCATGGACCATGAGAGCGGCTGACCTGACCAGTTCCTGCTCACGAGCCGTGGGTTGGCTACCTCCTACTCTGTGATTTATGCCAGCAATGTCCCCTGCCAGGTATATTAGCCAAACTGGACAGTCGCTATGACAAAGCTTAAATAGACAGAAGCCAGATATCAGAAATGGTAATACAGGCAGTCCCCGACTTAAGCGGATCCGACTTATGTCGGATCTGCAGTTACAAACCAGGCTCCCCCGGAAGACACGGACTGCGGGACCTCGCGGTCCTGCTGCCCGTGTACTCTGGGGCTTTCTCCGCGTCTCCCTGGTCTGCAGACCAGGAAGAGGCAGAGCAAAGCCGCAGGGGGGCTCGGGCAGCGAGGCAGCCTAGG